AAATTTGCAGGCAAATGGTGGGACCTAGAAACAATCATCCTGAGTGAGGTATCCCAAAAGCAGAAAGACACACATGGTATATACTCACTTATATAGATAGACCTATAAGATAGGATAAATATACTGAAATCTATCCACCTAAAGACGATAAACAAGAAAGAGGACTCAGGGTACGATGATTATCAATCCTCACTTAGAAAGTCAAATGGGATGGATATTGGATGTAGGAGCAAACAAGTAACAGGACAGGAGCCTACCACAGAGGGCCTCTGAAAGCCTCTACCTAGCAGTGTATCAAAGCAGATATTAAGACTCATAACCAAACCTCAGGCAGAATGCAGGGAATCAAAAAGGGGGGGGGAGTTAATATGACCTGGAGAGAACAGGAGTTCCACATGGACCAAATATATCTGGGCACAGGGATCTTTTATGAGAACATTTCTCCAAACAAAGACCATATATGGATGCAACTTAGAGGCGCTGCTCAGATGTAGCCCTTGGTAGCTCAGTATCCAAGTGGGTGCCATAGCCTAATACGGGGAACAGGTACTGTTTCTGACATGAACTCAATGGTGGGCTCTTTAACCCCACCCCCCTCGGGGAGGAGCAGCCTTGCTAGGCCACAGAAGAGGACTTTGCAGCCAGTCCTGAAGACACCTGATAAACCAGTATCAGATATAAGGGGAGAGATTCTCCCTTATCATTGGACTTGGAAAGGGGCAGGGAGGATATGAGGGTAGGAGGGTGGGATTGGGAGGGAAGTGGGATACAGCAGGGATACAAAGTTAACAAACTGTAACTAATATTTAAAAAAAAAATAAAAAAAGAAACTCAAGTGACAACACCTGATGGAGAGGTTGTGGAGAAAGGGAAACCCTCCTCCACTGCTGGTGGTAATGTAAACTTGTACAACCACTCTAGAAAGCAATCTGATGCTTCCTCAGACAACTAGGAATACAGCTTCCTCAAGATCCAGCTATACCACTCCTAGGCATATATCCAAAAGAGGCTCAAGTACACAATAAGGACATTAGCTCAACCATGTTTGTAGCAGCTTTATTTGTAATAACCAGAAGCTGGAAATAGCTCAGATGCCCCTCATTGGAAGAATGTATACAGAAATTGTGGTACATCTAAACAATGGAATATTACTCAGCAATAAAAAAACAAGGAAATCATGAAATTTGCAGGTAAATGGTGGGATCTTGAAAAGATCATCCTGAGTGAGCTATCCCAGAAGCAGAAAGATGCACACGGTATATACTCACTCATATAGACATATAATATAGGATAAACCTACTAAAATCTGTATACCTAAGGAAACTAATCAAGAGGGAGGACCCTTGCTAAAATGCTCAGTCCCTATCTAGAAAGGCAAAGAGGATGGCCATCAGAAGAAGGAGAAAAGAGGGAACAAGTCAGGAGCCTGACACAGAGGACCTCTGAAAGGCTCTGCCCTGCAGACTATCAATGCAGATGCTGAGACTTATGGGTAACCTTTGGGCAGAGTGCAGGGAATCTTATGAAAGAAGTGGGAAACAGTAAGATCTGGAGAGGACAGGAACTCCACAAGAAGAGCAACAGAACCAAAAAATCTGAGCACAGGGGTCTTTCCTGAGACTGCTATTCCAACCAAGGATTATGCATGGAGATAACCTAAGATCCCTGCACAGATGTAGCCCATGGCAGTTCAGTATCCAAGTGAGTTCCATTGTAATAGGAACAGGGACTGTCTCTGACATGAACTGATTGGACTGCTCTTTAACTACCTCCCCCTGAGGGGGAACAGCATTACCAGGCCACAGAAGAAGGCACTGCAGCTACTCCTGATGAGACCTAATTGACTAGGATCAGAAGGAAGGAAAAGAAGTCCTCCCCTATCAATGGACTTTGGGAGGGGCATGTGTGCAGAGGGGGCAGGAAGGAAGGGATTGGGACGGGAGGAGGGAGGGAACCACAGGAGGGATACAAAGTAAATACAGTGTAATTAATAAAGAATTAAAAAAAGAATTGTAGTAGAAAAACCTGGAAATATTTGCACAGATATTTCTTTAACTTTTTCAAATATTATGTACTTAATAAAAGGAATAATTCTGGGGGGCACAGCTGGGATACAGAGTGAATAAATTGTAATGAAATAAATAAATATAATAAAAAGACAAAAGACAAAAGTTTTGTATTGCTTCGATTTTTAAGTTTCAAGGAGAAAAAATTAACAATGAAGAAGTATAAGTAGAAAAGATGAAGAAGTTCTCACAGAGGCTAGGTGGATGGATTAGTGATTAAAAGCTCAGATCTGAGTTTAACTTTTAACACCCACATGTTAGCTTACAAGGGTAACTCCAGTTGCAGGAGAAGACCACCTCCAGCCTTCGTGGGTCAAGCATATACATGGTGTATAAACATGTATGCAAGCAAACCACCCAAATACAAATAATTTTTAACACTTTTTTAAAGTTCTTATTTAACTGGAACATAGATTATTTTATTTCTTTTTTAAACTTTTCCAATTATTTAATAAACATATTCTAATAAGTCCTCTGGCACATACATAATTTATTTTTCTGTTAATGTTGATCAATGCAAAGTGAATCATAGACATTTTAGGGAGATCTGCTATTAGCTCTGCTGAGTGTCATGGATTCTCTTGCAGATTACTCAGGTGAAACTTCCTTCTTCCTTTTGGCTTTTTGATACCACATCTTGCTATGTAGCCCAGGGTGGCCTCTAGCTCCACCTTTGTGGGTACAGCAAGTCACCTAGCCAAACTGCAAAGCCTACAACCATTTCCAGCATACTTTCCTCTAAGAGATGCCTAAGAATAGTGTAGAAAAATAAACTTATATTTCTGTTACAGAAGGACAGACCTTGTCCTCAGAATCAGATAGTATTTCTGATCCATCATAACTAGGGAAAACAATGAGAAAAACCATGAAGCCTGGTCCTTGGAGACCTTTAGGAAAAGAATAGACTTTCTTTTGTCAAACTCACAGCCAGCAAGGGTGAGGCCACTAAATGATCTCTGGAGTGCTCTTCTTCCTTGTATACACATGGCACAATTTTCAAGAAGAGACTTCACTAAGCAGACTGGAAGTAGGATTGCTGTCTCTCCATTATGCTTCCTACCTGAGCAAGCTTGGATTGGTAGAATCCCAAAACATCAGATTTTATAAGGTAGGTTAGGGAATATATCCCATGTTTTAAAATAAAATATGACTTACAGTGTGAACTGATCAGTGTCAGAGAACTATAGCCTAGAGAAGAAGAAAAAGGAGCAAGAAGAGAATTGTCAGAGAATGACAAAGGCAGGGTGGAAAAGCAAGAAGGGGAGGCAAGATGAAGAGAAAGGAAAAGAACATACAAAGGAGAGAGAGAAATGGAAGACTAGGGGCTATTCCAAAGCAGTAGCTAAATGTCTTTTTTCTCCCTATTAAGGACATTTATCTGCAAAAAGGATAAAAGCATAATTACCTGCTAAATACGTTATTTAAATGACACATCTCCAAGGGACAAAACCTGGTTAAAGGTTGGGTAATGCAATCCCTCTATTACTATATATAAAACAAAGAAGCTAGAGTTTCATTACCCTCAAATTGTCTGGCATGGGGGTAGTTAACTTTTATTAGAAGCTGTTCTTTCATATTATACAGCGTAGTCAAAGATGTATTAGCTTTGACATTTCTTACATCTCAATACACTGTGAAGTGAATTAACTGTGAGACAAATTTAGAAGGGAAAAATTCAGTGAAGGAAATAATAGCATCAGCCGTGCTTCCTATTATTAGTGGAAAAAAAGATTCAGAAAAACACACACACACACCTATAGAACTGTTAGATGTGAATAAGAATTCTTATCATATTTCTATTTCAAATGCTGTTCCATGTTGGTTTTGTGTGTGTGTGTGTGTGTGTGTGTGTGTGTGTGTGTGTGTGTGTGTACTGAATATTTAACCAAGGATGTATGTTTCTTGAAATTCCTATGTTTTGAAACTTTACTCAGGAGGAAGTTTGCACTCTTAAAGAGACATTACAGTGCCTTCTCAACAGGATTACTTTGTCTTCCGGAAAGGAAAACTCAGACATAAGCAAGACAAAAAAGATACTTTTAGTGAATCAGCTTTAATAAAGAAAGACAGATATCCTACAACTTAAGCATTAAAAATAAAATAATTGAAGAGTTGGTAATGATAGCACCTTTAACCCCAGCTACTGGGGACACTAAAGAACAGAAATCGTCAGATCAAGGCCAGTCTGAGATACAGATTGGAGCCCCACTTTAAGTTAAAAAAAATAAACATTGAACAGTTCAATGATAAATGGTTTGATTTATGTATAATAGTCATTAAATTAATTCTAAATGCAGACAGTACACATATATGTGCCTCACAGACTGTGCATAAAATGTTATTATCCTTTGCTATCATTAGGTGTCATTCTGTCACCTTTCGTAGTCTCTTCTAATAATATGGCAAACAACTGACATTTTAAAGAACCCAATTAAGCGTATAATTGTAAAATAGATTCAGATCCTCTTTAACCAAATTAAAATGAGTATATCAGATTGATAAGCATATTACCTTGGTTTCAATAACTTAAAATTCAAATACGATATATCAAAAAAGGATATTTCACTTAATAAACTAAATAAAACACAGTCAACCAAATAATAAAATATTGAAAATCAGTAACAAAAGATATTATAAAGCAAGCACTCAGTAAATTATCAATTTGCTCATCCTTTCTTATTACTTGCATAGGTTTTGTAGTAGAAATATCTTCCTAGCCCTTTGCATTTATCTTTGTCTGACTGAGTCCAATTCCACATTCATTAGACCAGAAATCTCAGGACATCAGATTAATACACACTGTCTTCATGAGGAACTGAAAAAACAGACCACTATCAGTATAAAATTCAAATTCTGGATATTAATGTTGTCTTTCCTGTTTGCCATGCATTTGACCTCCTTGCCTTTTTTTTTTTTTTTTTCACCCTTTTGCAGCTTCAGTCCAGGGTCCTTGGGAACGAGCCATCTCACCAAACAAAGTGCCCTACTATATCAAGTAAGTCAAAAGCATTTATTGTACCTGATCACAAATTAATTTCTTTTTTAAAGTTGTTATTCTCATCTATGAAATCTATTTCTTTTTATTTCTAAGGAAGCATGGATAGTGAATCATGGTGAAATTTTCCCTGTAAATTTGTTGATGAAATAAGGAATCACTTTTAGGAACAATCTTTTAATGCAGCATATATGGTGTCTTTTGGCGGTGAGCAGAATTTTTATAGTAGAACAAAAATATTCAGGTAATATCATTGATAGTGGGGTGAATATTTGACAGAAAAATATAATTTATGGAGGTGTTTTCTTCATTTCTTCTTCAGATATAGGTGGAAGATTTATTTAGTAATAGTTGCACAAACTGTTTAAATGAATTGTATGTCACATAAGCCATAGGCAGACAATCCAGAATTTGTGGAGCTGAGATATTCATTCTAAACATGTATCTATCCTACTTAGTTACCTAATAATAGCATCAGAGTGGGACCCTTTTTCTGGGACAATTTGTGCTGGTCAAAGGAAAAGAGTCAAAAGATAGATGTTCTCTGAAACATGAATTATGATATATTGTGTTGACACAGAAGAGAAAGGAGAACTGATATTGAGTTATTATGATGTTTTAACAGTCTCTCATCAGTCTTGCAAAAATGTAACTTAAATCTAACTTGGAATTGGCTATACCCAACAACAAATAAAAGTAATGGGGTTCATGAAATAGTCTTCAGTATCAACTACAGTCTTTGAACTTTCCTTTGGCATGAGTCTGAATACAAATATTAAATGTTTTCCCAGTTATTCAGCCTGCTATCTTTTAGTGAATCTCTTTTTATTCTTCTGCTACCCATCAATTCTTCATAATTCAGTTCCAAAGCAATAACTGCAGTCCTAGATCTTCATTGCTTCAGTTCTCAAGAAATGTGATTTCATGCTTCTATTTTGTTAACTCAAAAGAATGAAAATGAAGGGACTTTGGGGCTCTCCAAAAGAAGACATATTCTTCAGTAATATGGTTTAACTTTTATTTTATTAAATTTTTCCCAAATGATGTATCTTTTAACCTTAAAAGATCCTTTAATGTGTTTTAATCCTCTTCTTTTTCCCTTTTTTACAAAAATTTTTATTATTTTTATATTGAATTCATTCATTTTGACTCTAAATTACATATGTTAAACACTAATTTAAGGTACGTTTTACTAAATAAGATGTAAATTTAAATATGCATGTGTATTTTATAGAAGAGTTTGTTCAAACTCTTTGTAGTGATTTCTTATATGATTATCTGTCAGTATAGATTTTATTTCTCATTAAGATATTTAAGACTTAATAGTTCATCAGCAAAACTCTCACTTTCATCAGTTTCCATTATGAGTTGAAATAATGTTTCTTTTTCTATTTTTGTTCATAAAGGTTTAGAACCATCTGAAAATCACTATTATGGAACGATTCTCTGAATTACTGTGTAGAGTTCATTAATCATCTCACATGGATTTCTAGAACCTTCCCCTTTGTTCTTCTCTAGTGTTGTGGCTCTCAATCTGTAGGTTGCTAATCTTTTGAGTATCAAATGACCCTTTCGTAGGGGGTACATATCAGATATCCTACATATCATATATTTATACTTCAATGCATAACAGTAACAAAATTATAGATATGCAGTAGCAATGAGAATAAATTTATGATTGGAAGTCACCACAGCATTAGGTGTAAAGAGTCGTAGCATTTGAAAGGTTGAGAACCACTTTTTTTTTCCCAGTAAGTTGATCTCATTGTTCATTCCAGTGAAAGTAAAGACCAATTTCATACCCTATTTACCCAATACTGCTTTACATGTAGGATGATTGTGGTCATGAAAACAGTAATTCTAGCCCTGACTCTAATATTAGATAGTTATGTATTCATGGACAAACTGTCAACTTATATAAACCATAATTTCCCATTTATAAAATAGAATGCTAACTTAAATAATATGTAAGGCCATTTCAGCTATCAGAATCAATGAGTTGAGTCATTCAATGAACATGTTAAACTTGGACTGCTAAAATTTGAACCATTTTTCTAGAACTTTACCTTTATTTTTAAATCCATTATTTGACTCACTAATATTTGTTTAGTTAGTTTTGTTGGTCGGTGGTCTGGTTTTGGTTTTGTTTAGTTAGTTTTGGTGGCTGGTTGGTTTGCCAGAGTGCTGAAGATGGATGTCAATGTTTTACATACACTAGACAAGCACACTAAATCGTTTGTCCAAGTTCTAACATAAGCCCTTATTGCCTTACTGTTTTAAAGATGCTTTTATGTGGGACGTGTGTGTGAATTCTTTTTACTTTTGAGCCTCAGACATCAATCATCTTTCAAAGTACTATAATTTCTCTAGATAATTTTTAAGAGCTCAGTTCTTCCTACTTTAATATTAAAAGTCCTCAAACAATAAACAGGAAAAAATTAGTTGAAAGATGATAAGGTAATTGAGTATTCAGGCCTTATATGCCTCTGAAGTGATTGGTTCCTAGATGAGAAGTTACTTCATTTCCATAGGGGTCTCTGAAACTTTAAGGAGAGCAGTTCCCTACATTAATAAATTATTTAAAATTAAGGATTATAACATTTCTCAAATAGGATTCTAAAATATTAAGCTATAATACACAGAAAATAAACTCAAAAATATACATTAATACATATCTTAATTAATGTATTTTACTATCCACAACTTTTGCCTAAAAATATTTAAAACAAATTATTATTTTAAATTCTTTTTATTGTTTAAGAATTTCATACATGTTGTAATGTCTTTGAATCAAATACACTTCCCAGTCCCTCAGGTTCTATTCCTCCTGTATCTGTCAGTCACTTTTCCCTCTCAACTTCATGTTCTTTGTTTTTAAACCCTCTGAGACCACTTAATGCTTCCTAATGTTCATGGTTATAGAACCATCTACTGGAGTGTGTAGCATCTCTGGGATTACATCCGTGAAGAAAACTGACTTTCCTTTCCCCAGCAGCAGTCAATGCCAATAGACTCTCAGTGTGGCTTGTATTTCATGAATTTAACCCCGTTCCATGCCAGGATTTTGCCTGATTGGATCTTGCTCAGGTCATGCACATGCAGTCAACAGCTGCTGTGAGTTCATGTGTGCAATGACCCCAGCTAGTATTGTTTCACTGTGGAAGTCCACTACCTATGGCTTTTAGAATTTTTCAACCCCCCCCCTTTTGCAATGATACCAGCTTTGGGGGGAGAGGGGTGATATATGTTCCTTTTAAAGCTGAGCACTCCACATAAAGTGAATTATTTTTAAGTATAAGGTTCAATAGATTTTATGTTCTTGCTAATCACATTCATTATCACAGATGCTTTAGTGATCTTAAAACGAACAATAAAATTAAGTTTACAATGAGTTAAAAATAAGTTGACTAGTTCTCATCTTGTTTGTCTTCAAGAGTTTTTTTTCTTTAATTTTGTTCTTTGACAGTTTCACACATGTAAGAAAAATATTCTGAGTGTTTTCCCCCACTCTTATCAGACCCTCCTTCTTTCCTACAAATCTCTTCCCCACATTCATTAATTTATGTTTCACGACCTAATGAGTTTAATGAGGGCCATTTGTTTGACTCTGAGCTTGGAAATTTCTGATGAAACCTGGTAGGCTTATCAATGGGTACACAATTGAAGATGGTGACTCTCCCATCCCAGAATTTGAAAATAGCCAGAATTTGTTCAGCTGTGTGTCAGGGAAAGGGGGGTCACTTGAGGCCCTCTCCACTCCTTAGAATTCTGTTGTCAGGGCTAGTCCTATGCAGAACCAGTGTCAGCAAAGGCAACCGCTTTGAATTCATGATTGTTGTAGCTGTGTTGTTCCTAGAAGATGGTGTTACATAGCCTTTCTCGCTATCACAGATCATCCCCACTGGCAAACCCAAGTGATGTTCTCAGGTATAATTTTTTTATTGCTTGAAAACTTTGCATTTTCTGTGGCAGGTCATCCAAATAACAGGAAGCTTACATACCAATAGAAGTTTGCATACCCATAGCACAAGCCCCACAGAATTGTTGAATTAGGCATTCATTTTTGAGATGTTAAGACATTAACAATATTTTTGCTGTGGATTAGAATTCAGGCAGTGTTTATGTATGTCCTGACACCAGCTTTTTATGGGATCTTACGAAGTTCCATTTTGATACTTCAGAATACATTTTTGTCTAGTTTATTAGCTGATAGCATACAGTTTTCATATTCCCTTTCCCTTGGGGCTCTCATTTCTGCCAGCACCTCTATCAGGTTAGTTGATTACAGTTTTTATTGCTACTGAAAAAATAATCACCAACATTGTTCAACCTGTTACAACTGCCTTTTCTACTCTCTGCCATTTTCTAGTTTTTTGGCCTATTGTCAAACGCATGAAAATTTCATAATAATATCCTTTAGCCAGCTGCTGTGTTCTGTTCAGATTTCTTTCACCTTTTTATGTTTCATACTCCCATATAGGTAAAACAAACAGAACCAAGAACTAGGACTCTCTTGCTTACTTAATGAGGTAGAAAATTATTCTTCTGTGTTCTGGATTGTCAAAAGAATTTAGGAATCCCAAAGTTGTATGCAGGATGTTCCAACATAGATGACATAATAAAAGCATAAGAAATATCACATTGAATCAGACTAACAGGGTAACCAGCCCTGGTCTCTATCCTATATAGAGGCATGAATAGTGTTTGTTGTTTTATCAGTTAACCTTGTAATTTTCATCTCAAAAAATAGGGTGCATCACTCCTAGTTGCTAATGATGTATTGGAAAATGACTGGCAATGAAGTTTATCCAAAACTATATAAAATATTTGCCATATGTTATTTCAGTCTGGTCTTAGAAATAACTCTATGGGTATATTGAATTCTATATAAATCAATATGTTTCACTTTCCCTTCAATCTATAGACCTTGACCTCAACAAATGGCCCCAGTTAAATGGTTTGATAATCAACGAAGACATTTATATTTTCCCACTGTGGAC